CAGTCTGAAATTACTGTTGTGATCTGCCTCATGAAAGGTGACCAGAGTCAGAATACTTTCCTGGGGCACAAACAGTATGAAGAGAGGAAGAATAGGAGGCAGCCCCCGCCCCTCGCATCCCAGGGCTTCCTGGTGCACCCAGCGCTGGATCCTGGTCTGTTAGCTACAGCAGGTGGCTGCAAAGTGTCCTCTGCTTCCCCCCCTTCACGTCCATTGCCTGGCTCTGGTGAGCTCCAGCCTCCAGCCTGGGGCTCCCCTGCTAAGGCTGGCCCTGCTAAGCCTGGCCCTGCCAGTAAGTGGCCAGATTCCTGCAGTTCAGCCTCCTGCTGTCCTGGGTCAGGCAGAGAGGGCATAAACTGAAGTTACTGAATCTGAACAAAATTTGTCCATCCCAAAGAGGACAAGTTATGTTCTGCTATCCACCCGGCTGGAATTTATGCCGGCCTTGGGGTCTTTCTGCTCCCTCCTCCAGTGCCGAAGAGTCTCCGGAGTCCCTCTAGTGCAGTTAAAGAGGTTCAGTCTGGCCGAGTTCAGCTCCCTAGGGCCTCCCCAGTCAGTCTCCTGGGGCAAGAGCTGGCTTTGCAAGGTAAGGATCCACTGTCAGTGTTGGGTTTCGGGGTGGGGGTTGAGATGAAGAATGGCTTCACCCAGGCTGTTTCTAGGCTACTCTTAGGTTTTCAGTCCCCTCTTTCCTTCCTGATTAACCCCCTACTCCTACAGAAACCCAAACTGCTACAGGATACTGTGCTCAACTGTATTTCTATGGCTTGTCTCCCCTTGTAATCGGCCAGGGTGGGGTGCGGGTGGAGCTACATGGATCTTTCTTGTGTTTTGCAATCTGTCGCACTTGAACATGCTACTTATGCCTATCTTTAGAAAAATCTGTGAAGCCTGCTATGCAGGGTTATCAACCCCATTTACAGCTCTTCGTGGTGGGGCTTGGAAGAGGGTGAGAAGGGGTGACAGGGGCCCACCTGGGCACCCGCAGCAAATGTTCTGCGGAGGGTATCGAGTATGTTGAAGGGCTGTGGCTGTGAGGTTCACTGGGAGCCAACGGAGGTCCAGGCATCTAAAGTTAAAAAGGGGAGGGGGTAGCTGAAGGGAGAGTGAGAGCGAGAAACTGTCAAAAACACCCTCTCAGAAGAGCCTTGAAGCCTAGGGGTGGAGAGCGGTCTGGGCGTCGGAAGGGGAGGGGTGGCCGCGGAGAGCCCAGCTGCAGACAGGAACAAAGCGGTCGCTGTGCCGGCGGGGGTGGGGGTGCTGCTATGGGAAAGGGGGGTGGACCTTGGGCTCCAGCCCCACAAGGGCGTCTTCTCTGGCTGGCCCGGCCGACCGGACGCGGGCCGGGGGCCGGGGCGGGGACTAGCGCGGAGGGGCGGACCCGCTCTCCACCTCCG